AAAAACATGTAATAAGAAGGAACTGAATCTGGGAAGACCTGCAGATTGAGATTTTTAAGCCAAATATCAATGTTCTTATAGAAAAATGCAGAGAGTCAGATTGAAAACATGAAGGGCAAGGAGGGGAGATGGAGCTGTAAAGGAGCAGAATTTTTGTATACTATTGGAAGTTGATATTAATGTTTCCAACTTGACTGTTAGAAAGTTAATGGATAACTAAGAAAAAACTAAAAAAGAAAAGAAATGAGAAGGGGAATCAATATGGTAAACTAGAATATTCAGTTAATCACAATAGAAAGTGGTAATAAACAAATTGAGGAACATACAGAAATAAAAAGCAAAAAGCAGAATTAAGTCCTTCTAAATCAGTAATTATTTGAAATATAAATGCATTAAACTCTCCAATTAAAAGAGACTGACAGAATAGACTAAAAAACATGAATATGCTGTCTATAGGAGACATTTTAGATCCAGACACAGAAAGGTTGAAAATGGATGAGAAAAAGTATTCCATGCAAATAGAAACAACAGAGAGCTGGGATGGCTATGCTAATATCAGACACAATAGGTTTTAAGCAAAACATTGTCACAAGAGCAAAAAGGATATTATATATTGATAAATGAGTCACTCCATCAAGAAGATATAACAGTTATAAATATAATACATACCAGGGGTGCCTGGGTGGCTCAGTTGGTTAAGTGTCTGACTTTGGCTTAGGTCATAATCTCAGAGTCTGGGATTGAGCCTCTGCCACTCAGCTGGGAGTCTGCTTCTCCCTCTCCCTCTGCACTGCCCTTGCTTATTCTCTCTGTCTCTCTCTCAAATAAATAAAGTCTTTTTTTTTTTTTTTTAAAGGTGTAATACATACAAAAGAGGGGCACCTGGGTGGTGCAGTCGGTTAAGCATCTGACTCTTGGTTTTGGCTTAGGTCGTGATCTTAGGTCATGATCTCAGGGTTGTGAAATTGAGCCCCTTGTCAGGCTCTGTGCTCAGTGCAGAATCTGGGATTCTCTTTCCCTCTCCCTCTGCCCCTCCTTCTCGTGCTCTCTCTCTCTCTCAAAATAAATAAATAATCTTAAAAAAACCAAACAGCAAAAACCCAAAATATATGAAGCAAAAATTGATAGAATTAGAGGGAGAAGTAGTTCTATAATAATAGTTGAGACTTCAGTGCCCCATCTTAAATAATGGATAGAACAACTAAACAGAAGATCAAAAAAAGAAAACACTTCAGCAGTACCTGGGTGGCTCAGTCGTTTAAGCATCCTAACTCTTGATTTTGGCTCAGGTCATGATCTCAGGGTTGTGGGATCTCAGGGCTGTGAGATCGAGACCCATGTTGGGCTCATACTGAGTGTGGAGCCTGCTTGGGAATCTCTTTCTCCCTCCTTCCTCTGCCTTTTCCCCCTACCTCTCTCTCCCTCCCTCTCTAAATTAAACAAAAACAAACCATTTTAACAACAGTATAAAACAGTTAGATCTAACCAACTTACATAGAACGCTTTATCCAACAAGAGTAGAATACACATTTTTCTCAATTTACATGGAACATTCTCCAAGATAGATTATGTATTAGGTCACAAAAGAAGTCGTAATATATTTAAAAAGATTGAAATCATCCAGAGTATCCTCTTTGATCACAATGGAATGAAACTAGAAATCAGTAACAGAAGGAAAACTGTAAAATTCCAAATAGGTGGAAATTAAAATAATACATTCTTAAACAACTACTGGGTCCAAGAAGAGATTACAAGTGAAATTAGAAGATACTTTGAAATAAATGAAAAGAAAACACAACATACCAAAACCTATGGGAAAATAGGGGAGACAAACCATGAGAGACTATGGACTCTGAGAAACAAACTGAGGGTTCTAGAGGGGAGGGGGGTGGGAGGATGGGTTAGCCTGGTGATGGGTATTAAAGAGGGCACGTTCTGCATGGAGCACTGGATGTTATATGCAAATAATGAATCATGGAACATTACATCAAAAGCTAATGATGTAATGTATGGTGATTAACATAATATAATAAAATTAAAAAAAACTACAAAACAAACAAACAAACCTATGGGAAAATAGTGCACAGAAGGAAATTTATAGCTGTAAATGTTTACATTAAAAACAAAGATTCCAAATCAGTAACCTAACTTTACACTTTAAGGAACTAGAGGAAAAAAAAGCAAGCTAAACCCAAAGCTAGCAGATGGAAAGAAATAATAAGGATTAGAGCATAGATAAATGAAATAGAGGATAGGAAAGCCGTAGAAAGAGTCAGCAAAAGTTGGTTTCTTGAAAACATCATCAAGGGGCGCCTGGGTGGCTCAGTCGTTAAGCGTCTGCCTTTGGCTCAGGTCCTGATTCCAGGGTCCTGGGATCGAGCCCCGCATTGGGCTCCCTGCTCGGCCGGGAGCCTGCTTCTCCCTCTCCCACTCCCCCTGCTTGTGTTCCCCTCTCTCGCTGTGTCTCTCTCTGTCAAATAAATAAAATCTTTAAAAAAAAAAAAAAGAATAAGAAAATATCATCAAAATTGACAGTTTTACAACTTGACTGGCCAAGAATTAAAAAACACACAAATCACTAAAACCAGAAATGAAAGTGTGAACATCACCACAGTCCTTAGAGAAATAAAAGACTATAAAAGAATATTATGAACAATTTTATGTCAATGAATTTGATATCCTAGATGAAATGGATAAATTCCTAGAAACACAAACTACCAAAACTGACTCAAGAAGAAACAAAGTTTGAACAGGCATTAAACAGTTAAAGAGAGTGAATCAGTAATCAGAAACTTCTCAACAAATAAAGGCGCAGGACCAGAAAGCTTCACTCACGATGCTACCAAACATTTAAAGAATTAACATCAGTCCTTCTCAAACTTAAAAAAAAAAAAAAAAAAGAAAAAAAAAAGAGGGAATATTTCCTAACTCATTCTATATTAACAGCCTTACTTACCAAAGCCACATAAAAACGTCATAAGAAAAGAAAATGATAGACCTAGTATCTCTTAGGAATATAGATGCAGAAATCCTCAACAAAATCTTAGCAAGCCAAATCCAGCAATGTATTAAGAGGATTATACATGATAGCTAATTTTATTTTAGTTCCTAGCATCTCTCTGCTTCTATTTCTTCTTTCTGCTGCTGCTGTAAATCTCTTCAGAACTTAGGGCCCACATTCATATACCTGATATTCCTTCCTGAAAAATGGTCTTCCCATGCTTACTGAGTCTTATAGTAATGTATGGCACTGTATGTTTATATCCCCCCTCCCTTTTTTTGTGCTTTGATGTTTTACAATTATAAAATCTTAGTATTATTTTTTCCCCTCTTGCTATATACCTCTTTTCCCAACTTTTCATTTTGAAAGTTTTATATCTACAGAATACTCTTTACCTGCACTCAACAATTGTTAACATATTGCCATGTTTGTTTTTCTTTCCCTTTCTTATCTATACACGCACACATACTTTTTAGAAGAAAATGGCGGATGGCATGTTTTATTTCTAATACTTAAGAATGTATCTCCTAAGAACAAGGATATTCTTCTATATTATTATACCTAAGAAATTTAATATTAAAATCTAATATGTTCACATTCTCCTGATAATATTTTTTATAACAGACATTTTCTTGATTCAAGAAAAAGATCATGCATTGCATTTAGTTGTCATTTTTTTTTTTTTTTAAGATTTTATTTATTTATTTGAGAGAGAGAGAGAGCACAGGCCAGGGACGGGGGGAGGGGAGAGTCAGAGGGAGAAGCAGACGCTCTGCTGAGCAGGGAGCCCAGTGTGGCACTTGATCCTAGGACCCTGGGAACATGACCTGAGCCAAAGGCAGACACTTAATAGACTGAGCCACCCAGGCACCCTTTAGTTGTCATTTCTTGTTAGTTTCCTTGAATCTAAAATAGTTTCTCTAGGCCCTTTTTTAACATTTTGAAGAGCCTATGTCACTTGTTCTGTAGAATATTTCATTTTCTGGATTCATGTGATTATTTCCTTATTAGGTTTAAGTTAAACATTTTTGACAGTGACATTATATAAATGACGTTCCTTCCCATTCCATCACATTAGGAGGCTCATAGTGACAGTTTGTCTCATTATTGGTGATGCCAACCAAGTTTGATCGCTTGGTTATGGTGGTAGGTAATCTCTAGGATGATACATTGAGACTCTGACACTTCACCCTTTTACTTGATGTTTCTTGCCTGAATCAATGCATGTGTTATCTGTTACTATTATTCTTTTCAATACTCAAATTATCTCGAATTTGGCCATCAGAACTCCTGCAGGTCCTCATGATGTGGCCCCTCTGTGTTTGAATACCTTCTTGCTCTTTATTACATTCCAGGCTCCCCTTGAACTTTTCCCCAACCCTGGGTGCAGTTTTTCTCCAAGGATCTCTGTTTCTTTTTAGTGAGTAGTAGTATATTTAGAAATGAAGTTTATTGATACTGGAGAATCATAACTTCTAGGCTTTTTCAGTGGACAAATTTTGAAAACCTTCATCCTCCATTGGTCAGTTGATCATCCATCCATCCATCCATACACCCAAATATCATACTAATATTTTAGTGTTATTTCAAAAAACCAAATATTGTCATACTTTAAAAAAAATTATTTGATAGGTGGGGAGGGGCAGAGGGACAGGGAGAGAGAAAGAGAGAGAATCTCAAGCAAACTCCACACTAAGCGTGGAACATGACGTTGGCTCAGTCTCACAACCCTGAGATCATGACCTGAGCTGAAACCAAGAATTGGTTTAACCAATTAACTTAACCAACTGGTGGCTTAACCAACTGAGCCACCCAGGCACCCTGGTCATATTTTATTTACTCTGTAGAAGAAACTAGAATATCACTTTTTGGGGGTCTTTAAAAAATATTCTAATAGTAGGAAAATTAGGGTAGCTTGTGTGATAAATAACAACTTCTGGTGAATCATGTTGAATCAGTTTGGTTATTTAATGAGCTCTTATTTTTATTGTTAATGTAGTTTTGGGGCAGTGCCGTGACAACATTGAGCCAAAAAAATTGCCTATCACTGAAGAGGAGCAGATTTACCCTTGGGATACATGTGCAGCAGTTCATGATGTGAGACTTTCATTATTACAGCGTTATTTTAAGGATGTAAGTACCCTTTGATCATATAGTATTTCTGTCTGTAAAATTGATGGTTACTTCTCTCTAGAATTTTATATTTTTTCTTCTATCAAATGTCATTCTGATTTGGAATATTGAAGTTTATTAGAAAAAAGTTAATATATGGATAGTAAAGAAATGGAAATCTGTTAATAAATAAAAATTTCATATTATAAATGTTATACCTATGTTTTAAATGTTGTTTATTGTGAAATATACACATTCAGTTCAATGGAATGATAAGTATTCACTCTATAAAAACTTTTAGATTTGGCATGAATATTTTATGAAGATTTTGCCTCCTTCTTTTACCTTCATTTAAAGATATACAATAAGATTTAGAAATGTGCTTTGATATTTTATTATGATGATGTTTTTAAAATATAAAGTAGGGGGGCGCCTGGGTGGCTCAGATGGTTAAGCGTCTGCCTTCGGCTCAGGTCATGATCCCAGGGTCCTGGGATCGAGTCCCGCATCGGGCTCCCTGCTCCTTGGGAGCCTGCTTCTCTCTCTCTCTCTCTCTGTCTCTCATGAATAAATAAATAAAAATCTAAAAAAAAAAAAAAAGATTTAAAATATAAAGTAGGGGCAGATTTAATTCATGACTTCTGTGGTTTCTTGTGAGCTTGGTAGTTTTTTTCCCAGCTCTTTGCACTTAGGGGTTCTATCTAATAGCACTCAGGTGTTCTAAGTCTTGGAAGATCAACTTTATTTATTTAGTAGCACTTGCACTGTTAACTTCCTTGTAAAATTTCTGTACCATTTTTAATATTTTCTCAGTGGATTATCAAACAGGGTTTCCTTTTACCTGTTGTTGTTTTTTGGATCTGCTGTATCTTGAATTAAGTACACATGTAATAAGAACTTAAAATAGTTAAAATACATAGGGAAATATTTTTAGTTAGCTATATGAGATGAATATCTTGATAGATTTCCAGATATAATTCTTTTTGCCTTTAATGCACTGGATTAAATGGAAGAAACTAATAGGAGAGGTGGAAGACAAAATACTTAATTAGAATAAACAATAACTGACCTAGTAATGACGAACATCAGAATAGAATGTGGTTCAGTAGTCTGGACTGAGGAGAAGAGTTCTGGCGGGTTCTGGAGGAGATGATGGCTCTAGTTAGGGAGGCATTGTGTAGAGTAGAAAGAGTTCCAGGTGAGCAAACTGGGGCTTGGTCTTAGCAATGTAAGCTTGCCAGATAAAGTCTAGGATTCAATTTCCTCAGCTATAAAATAGGGCTCATGTGGTCTTTCATACAGTCACCTACCAGGTAAAAAATTTCTTTAGATCACTTTACACATTATAAAGGTCAGTATAAATGTATAGTGAAGTTTTTAATATTCAGGCTAGCCTTTTCAAAGGGCTCAGGTTAGGTAGGCCTTATAAGGCAGTTTGGGTTAGGTAATGAGGACCATGCTTCCATAGATTTTCAGAGGCTTTAAAATGAAGTTATTATTATTTGTAAAAAGAAGCCTCTATGTGTGTGTGTGTGCATACATATGAACATGTACACATTTTCACACTTTTTTCTTTATTCTCTGTTTCTTTGAATTTTTTGCAGCATATATATATTACTTTATTAATCATAGACCAATAAATATCTTCATTTTGAAGAAAATGATGAAATCGTGCTAACTTCTCCTTTTGCAGAAATTTACTACCACCTTTATTTAGATTTTATTTTGTTGCCATAATCCTGGTTTTAATTTTGTCATTTTGAATCACTTTAGAGTAGATGAGTAGAGATGAATCCTAGAGCCAAACAGAAAAGCAGAATAACTTGATTCAATGAAAATATAACCCGGACTTAAGAGCAAAATAAGTTTGAGGGAAGGGGAGATCTAATAAAGGAGAGAAAGAGTATGGTATCTCTTTCTTAAAGCAGCCGGCATAGTTATTCATATCTAGAAGAAAATCTCTTTTGTAAGAACTCTGAACTGAAATCTGAATTGAACAGAATCTCTATTGTGTGTCTGTCAGTGATGTGGGATTTTATTCTTAAATGTATATATTTTTACACAATACTTCTTTACTTTCATCGTGGTTATTTTATGTATATCTGGCTTGCTCCCTGGTCTGTATACCTCTAGAGGTGTAGGGCTGTTCTTACATTGGTTTTATGGTTCCCTCAGGGCCTAGCATGTGCTGTGTGGGTTGTAGATGCTTACTAGATTTTTTACTGAATTACTCTAGTATAGAGTACCAGAGTTTTGTAGGCAGACAGACTGTATACAGCAGAAGAGTTACTATTAATAGGCACTGATTTTGATTACAGAATTGAACTGTGTAGACTCTGCTCTCTTCACATCAGTTGCATGCATTTTACGAGTTGACCTGTAGAATTTTAGTCATGCAAGATAGTACTGCTGCTGAAACTCGGAGTATTATATATGAGAGACAGGACCCAGTAGGGAGGGAACCTGAGCTTTGGAGTCAGGTAGACTTGGGTTTGAACTGGGGCTCTGCCATTTATAATTGTGTGATCTTGGTAAACTTTTCATTCCTTTTTTGTAAGGTTTTAATAAATATTGCGGTTGTGAGGATTCAGCATTAAGCAATTCTTAGCACAGTGGTGGGCACGTCATTGAAGTCTTTCTAAAATATTAGTCTTGTGTTAGTAAATGTTTTCCTGCCTTTTAAAAATTCTGTCTGATTCATACAAGAAATCTAACAGTTACATAGACAAATGATGTACTGATTTTAGTTTGGCTTTTTTTTTTTTTAAAGATTTATTTATTTATTTGAGAGAGAGAGCGCAAGGGGAGAAGGGGCAGAGGGAGAGGGTAAGTCTCAAGCAGACTCCATGCTGAGCGTGGAGCCCGATGTGGGGGGCCTGATCTCAAGACCCTCAGATCATGACCTGAGCTGAAACCAAGAGTCAGATGCTCAACTGACTGCACCACCCAGGTGCCCCCTGATTTTAGTTTTGAAAGCTGCCTTTATTAAAAAGAAAGATTAATTATGTTTTTATAATACATTGCCAAGAGAGCAGCTTGTTTATTAGCTGACTGCCAACCATTCTAAAATGACCTAAATCTGCTGCTACTTCAAGTGGCTCCAAAGCATAACACAGAGATAAGAAGGTCTCTGTTGCTTTTCTGATTTGTAACCGTAGAAGCTAGCTCACCTGCTGTATTTGATTTGTGCTGTTGCACATCTTTCAATTGGCTAGGAAGGCATTTTGCACTATGTAATATTTTCAACTTCCAGTTACTCATGAAGAGTCTTGGTTTAACATTGGAATTTTGTTTACTATTGTTTAAAGATTATTTGGTTATCTTACATTATAATGTGAACATTTCATTTCAATGTAAAAAGTTTAAAGGTGTACTCAGTTTTAATGGCTTTCAAATCTTTCATCAAGTGCTGTCACTTATGATAGACTTTGTTCCTAATATTGCTGTGGCATGGCCATCTGTTTACTCCAGACTCAAGTTCAGGCCCAAGTGTTGTTTGACAGAGGCCAAATGAAAATTCAAAGAAAATTATTTTAGGAGGAAAAGTCTAAGCCTGTTTACAGGTTAAAGGGAAGGAATTAGAGAAGGAGAGAAGAATAAGTTGAAGAGATAAGAGAAAGAGGAGATAAAAGCAATTAACTTTTAGAACAGATTTCAAAAGGGTATTGTAGTTGCTTATATAATCTGGGTCCCTTCTTTATTGCATATTAAACCTTTGTAAACGTTAAGGTACCTTTTGGGCTTATCTTATGACCAAATTTGTAGTCTAGAAAAATGTATGGAGGGTGATGCATTATGCAGAGAAGAAATTGGAGTCAGGGAGTCAGGGAGACCAGTTAAGAAACTTTATTGAAGAGGTGCCTGGGTGGCTCGGTCGGTTAGGTGACCAGCTCTTGATTTTGGCTCAGGTGATGATCTCAGAGTTATGAGATCAAGCCCCATGTGGGCTCCCTGCTGAGCGGGGAGTCTGCTTGGGATTCTCTCTCTCCTTCATTCCCTCCCCACCCCTCCCCCACCCCACCTGTGTGCTCACGCATGGGGTTTCTCTCTCTCTCAAATAAATAAATCTTAAAAAAAAAAAAAAAAAGAATTTATTGAAGAACCCACTCCCCCACAACAAATGATACAGACATGAATGTTGTAGTGGGAACAAAGAGGAGGGGCCAAAATCACAAGTTATTTAGGAGATAGAATCTGTGTGGTTTGGGAGCTAATACTGTGGTGTGAAAGAAAGAGTGTGATGTAGAATGACTCTTAGTTTTCTGATTTGGTGACTAAATAGATTGTGGAGTTTTTAAACCAAGAGGAAAAGAAAGATTCATGGAAAAAAATGACAAACTTATGCCACATTTGTGGGAAAAAACAAAAGATTTTATTTATTTATTTATTTTAGAGAGAGCTCACGCTCTCATGCAGTGGAAGGGGCAGAGGGAGAGAATCTTAAGTAGACTCTCAGCTAAGCATGGAGCCTGACGGGCTTAATCTCAGGACCCTAAGATCAAGACCTGAGCCAAAATCAAGAGTGCGACGCTTAACCAACTGAGCCACCCAGGCGCCCCAGGACACATTTTTTTATGTTATCTGAGGGACATCAAACTAGAGATTTCTGCTTGGCAGTTGAGTATTTGTATCTGTCACTGAGGCAAGCGATCCAAGTTTGGAAGGTAGTTGAATTTACCGATTAAATCACTCAGGGAGAGCAGTTTTAGTAAGAAGAGAGTAGCACAAAAAAATAGAACCTTGAGGAGTATAAATATTGAAGGGGCAGGTGAAGAAAAAAGAGTCTTAAAAGGAAGCCTAAACCAAATGGTTTAAAGAGATCAGAGAAAAATCAAAAGAGAGTAGTATTATGGAAGCCAGGGGGAAGTAGGCGTTTTAAGAAAGAAGTTGTTACTCCATTGTGTGGGTGTGCGTGTATATATATATGTATATATATATATATATATATATATACCATATCTTTATCCATTCATCTATTGATGGACAATTGGGCTGCTTCCATAATTATAATACTTCTATAAACATAGGGGCACATGTATCCCTTTGAATGAGGACTTTTGTATTTTGGGTGTATATACCCAGTAGTGTGGTTACTGGATCATAGGATAGTTCTGTTTTTAACTTTTTGAGGAACCTCTGTACTGTTTGCCATAGCAGCTGTACTATCACGTTCCCACCAACAATGCACAAGGGTTCCTTTTTTTCCCACATTCTTGCCAACACTCGTTGTTTCTTATGTTTTTGATTTTAGCCATTCTGACAGGTGTGAGGTGATAATTCACTGTAGTTTTGATTTGCATTTACCTGATGATGAATCATGTTGAGCATCTTTTCATGTGTCTGTTGGTCATCTGGATGTATTCTCGGGAGAAGTGTCTGTTCATGTCTTCCGCCCATTTTTTAAATGGATTATGTGTTTTTTGGGTGTTAATTTGTATAAATTCTTCATGTATTTTGGATACTAACCCTTCCAGCCATAAAAAAGAGTGAAATGTTGCCATTTACAACATGGATGAAGCTAGAGAGTATAATGCTAAGCAAAATAAGTCAGTCAGAGAAAGACAAATACCATATGATTTCACTCCTATGTGAAATTTAAGGAACAAAACAAATGAGCAAAGGAAAGAGAGAGAGAGAGACAACATAAGAAATGGACTCTTAACTATAGAGAATGAACTGATAGGTACCAGTGGGGAGGTGGGTGGGGTGATGGGTGAAATAGATAATGGGAATTAAGGTGTGCACTTGTGATAAGCACCGGGTGATGTATGGAACTGTTGAATCACTATTACTGTATACCTGAAACTAATATAACACTGTGTTAACTATACTGGAATTAAAAGAAAAGAAAGTTGTTGTTAATGTCAGATGTCACAGAGAGATTAAGTACCATATAGAACAGGTAAAATAATCAACAGCAGAATAGTTTACACTAAACTATATGGAGAGTTTATTTTTCTTGGGGTGGAGAAAGTGTAATTTATAATTACTCTCATTCATTATGAGCCTAGGTTTTTGGAAGCTAAAACTGTGGTATTTCAGATTTAAAGATACTGCCTTATGACTGTCAAGTCGGGTGTTAACTTTATATCACAAAAATATAAAGTTCACATTGGTATAACAATATGAAATCATTCAGAGGTTTATGTGGATATATTTAAATATGTTTATGTTTCTTTAAAATTAATTGTATTTTGTCTTTTTTTTTTTTTTTAAGAGTTCTTGTCTCTTGGCAGTATCAATTGGCTGGGAAGGAGGTGTTTATGTACAAACCTGTGGCCACACATTACATATAGATTGTCATAAATCTTACATGGAATCATTACGGGTAAGTTGTATTTAAAGATGTATATATCTTTCTAGATATTAAATATTTTTATAGCATATAAATCCCAGTTCATCTTAGGTGATTTCGGTTGCCATTTGAAATATGCAGCCTTGTGGTTCCTTGACCTCTTCAGCTTTAGGGATTTCACTTTTTTATTTCACTTCAGCAAATGATATCCATGGTAGTAATTTTAGACTTTGTTACTCTAGCTCTGAAATATTAAGCTTTAATATCCTACCATATCATTTTATTATATGATTATTCTTCAGATTCTCTTACTTTCATTCTCATTAGTGTGTTTTGTTTCTGACATCAAGATCTCTAGTCCTTTAATCCTTTGCATTTTTCCTAGCGTTAGTTCTTCCTTAGACTCACTTTTTTGTACTATGTCTATTCTGCTCTGAATAGCATTCATTTAATCCTCCTGCCTTGATTTGAGACCCAGGCAGCTAGCCCTGCCAGAAAAGTCATAAAACTAAGTGAAGTGGTATATCTGTAAATTTGTGGTTTCCTGTATAATAGTGGCTTAGACTAGGGTCACCAACTGTAGATATTACTTATCAATTCATTTACCTATCTTTTATCAGTTTCTTCTCCTAGTGTCTTCAGTAGCTATTCCAAACCTTTGCCTCCCCTATCCCAGGTTCTTCACCTAAACTCCAAGATCCCTTTCCTCTCATCAGATTCTCTCTCCTCCTTTGTCACCAAGAAAACTGTGGCTTTCTGTCACATACTAAGCTTAGCTTCTTACTTTGCTTATTTATTCCCTGATAAATGAGTCTGCATCCCAACCAATCCTTTCTTTTCTACTCTTTGAGGTAGTATTCCTTCTTCTGTTCAGGAATAATTTTTCTGTTGATGCTCTAGTATTCCTTTCTCCTCTTCACCTCAGGGGCCTTGATCCTATTATAAGTAACCTCTTTTTCTTCTATATCTTCAGTTTTTCTGCCTGTTCTGTCCTTTCTTTTCAATTCATAAAGATGCTCAGGTCCCTGTCATTATGAATTTCTTCCCTTGACTTTGCATTCCCCTGTAGCTGCAGTTTTTCTGTTTTTCTCAGCTCAGCTTCTTAAAAGCATGGCCTTCTCTATTTCCCAGTTCCTACCTCAGAAGCAGTGGATTCCTGCTTTTCCCTTCATATCCTTTCCTCTCATATTCAGTCACTTAGTAAATTCTACTTACTCTGTCTCTTAAATCTCACTTGACTATATTCTACTTTCATTATTCTTCTTTTTGTATATGCCTTCATCTCTTATCTTGACTATTGCAGTTGCTTTCTTATCAGCTTCCTTACTCCAAGTCTAATTTATTCACTACATTGATCTTTCTAAAATGTAAATCTGATGACATATGTCGTTGGCTTAAAAATACTTTACTGAATTCTTCCCGATGGGGTAAAGTTCACTCTTCTCTGAATGGTAGTTAAGGTACTTCATGATCTGGGATTGCCTGTTGCTTTAGCTTTAGCTTTCATCAATTCAGCATTAATAAGCTAATTAATAGTTCCTTAGGCACGTTATGCATTTTTCACACATCTCCAATCATTCATTCAACAAATATTTTACTCAGTGTCTACAGTGTTCCAGATACTGTGATAGACATTGGGGATTCAACAGTGAATAAGACACATTCCTTCCTTCCAGGGGTTTACTATGCATTGCGTGAAATAGAATAAATAGATAGTTGCAGTATATGTGTTAAGTGTTATGAGGTATACACAAGGTCTTATTGGAACATCTGCCGAGTGCCAGAACATTTAATGAAATGTGGTGCTTGAGTGATGAGAGATAAGACTGGAAAAGTAATTAGGGGTCATACTGTAAAGGGCCTTGTGGTTCGTGTAAGGAATTTGAACTTTATTTAGATAGGTTCTTTACAGAGAGCCATTAAAATCATTAAAGACTTTTTTTTTTTTTAAAGATTTTATTTATTTATTTGACAGAGAGAGAGACAGCGAGAGAGGGAACACAAGCAGGGGGAGTGGGAGGGGGAAGAAGCAGGCTTCCCGCCAAGCAGGGAGCCCGATGCGGGGCTCGATCCCAGGACCCTGAGATCATGACCCGAGCCGAAGGCAGTCGCCCAACCAACTGAGCCACCCAGGCGCCCCATCATTAAAGACTTTTAAGCAGAGTTATGACATCTTCAGAAAGGTCATTGTGGCAGTTGTGTAGATGGTAGGTGATTATTGTGGGATTGCAGTAGAGTAAGAAAGAATGCGATGATATTTAGGAGGTACAAGATGATAGTGGCTTGAGCTTAGTCATTGCACTGGAGATGGAGAAGAGCTTAGAGATTTGAAATATATTTAGAAAAAGGGTCTTTCTGGACTTGGTGAGAGATGGCATGTGCAGTGTAAGAAGGAGGAAGGAATCAAGGTGAGAGATAATTGTCATTGTGAAAGATTTGATTGGGAATAAGAGTCTCACATTAGGTGGATCATGGTGGCAACAGTATCATTGAAAGACTAGTTAGGAGAATTAGCAAAGAGAGTAGAAGGAAGAAAGTGGATGGAAGGGCTAATGGGATTTATTAAGTAAATACTGGAGTGGAAGAAGACAGAAAGCTGAAGGAACTGTCATGACTCTCTTCTTTCTGAGGTAGAGGTGTAGCTTTATGCTTCTAGAGTAAAAGGAGCAAGGCTGGGGTAGATGAAGGGACTTGAGAAGTGAGGAGGTGGTTTGGAAAAACCACTTTGGAATTGGGTGAGAGAATTCTTCATAGGATGTTGGAGAAAGATTGCCAGGAAGTATTCAGGGCTTAATTGAGATGGAAACAGTTTGTAGCAAGAAGTTATTTCAGTTTTTTAATTTGAGTGCGGAATTGGAGAAGTCATACACTGGATTAATTTTGTACGAAGGTTTTATGGGGTATGTATGATGGAAGGACATATGAAGGGGGAATGAGAAGTATTGACCAAACAGTTTTTGAGGTGGTACATCATGGTGTGTAGGCAGAATAGGAAAGGCTTGATAAACTGGGGGAGAAGGGAGGAATTAAAGATAAAGGAGATAGGAGTTGGCAGTCAGACTGTAAGCTGTTTGGATTTAATATTTTCAGATATGGACAATTTGGGGTCATTTTAGAATAAGGGGGTGGTCATGGTAACAGGTACTGGAGTAGAGTGGAGGCCAGTGCCATAGGAGCTAATGAGGTCAAAGAACTAATGGATTAAGATATAAGATAGATTGTCCCTATATACACTGAAGTAGCATAAGAGGGTCGTAGGACTTGGAGCAGTGAGGAAAACCAAAGTCTTCAGTGATTGAGGGCAGTGGATGACAGTAAAAATGAAAGAAAAGGGTGATATCCCTGAATGACATGAGCCACAAAGATGGGAGAATGCAAAAGTAAAGATCTCAAGCCAGCACTAGAGAAGAATACTGCCAGCACTAGAAGAATACTGAGGTGTGAGGGGTGTGGGAGAATGAGCAGTGCCTACCTGAGAAGGCTTCAAGAAAAAACCTAGTTTCAGTCAAGGCAAGGAGGGGGATCTAGCATTCTTTAAAATTAAGGCTGTAGGGGAGCTTATAGAATGTCCTTCAATGATCGGGACTCTTACCCCAACCTTCTATACACCCTTCTTGTGTATCTTTAAAACTTAGCTCACAGATCTTCTCTGAGAAGCTTTTTCTGTTGTATTTTTCACACTATTATTATAATTTATTTTTGTTTGCTTCTATATTGTTAGTACCTTAAGTGAAGATGTACCTTAAATCTTTATGCATCACCTGGCATAGCATTTGACACATGATAGGAGCTTAGTAAATATTTGCAGAATTGGATTTAAGAAGATGTGGTGTTACACTTTTAAGGACTTGAAAAAAATAAATGTCAAAAAGTAAAAAAAAAGTAGAATTCGGTTCTTTTAGTCAAAGTATTTGAGATCCAAATATAGTGAAATGAGCACTAAATTAAGAGTGGGGAAACTTAAATTCATCCTAACATTGTCATTACCTTTGTAACCATAGGCAAATTCATTTTCTTCTCTTTGTATCCTTTTTTTCCTCATTATTTTTGTCTTGTTAGTAATAATGTTCATATTGTAGCATTCATACATTTACATTAATGCATTAAAACATTTTGAGATAAAGCGTTAGGTTAGTGGCAGAGTAAGAAAGAGACTGCTGGGAAAAAGAGCAATATAGTGGTTAAGACTACACAGTTGTAATGGCCTAAAAGAGCAAAATGGCTGTGTGGTGGTGTCAAGCGAAAGAAAGGAACAAATGTAAGAGTCTGGATTCCTGTGTTAAGTCCTCTGGTTGGTTAGCATGTATAGCGGTCTCTTATGAGTAAGAATTTCCTCCTAGGCACATATGCTTATGTGTCTGTGTTTAAAAAATTCTGTTTTCTCCTCTTCTATCAGAAACATCTGAAGGAAAGGGTGTTAAATTAATTCCCCTCCTATCACACTTACATTCTGAGCATCCTAACTGAATCTTTCCCCTATCCATTAAACCTAAACAAATTCACTGCATAAAGTCCAGTCAGTTGTGTTTGGCAGTTAGACAAAGACACATCACAATTTTTAGGCTTGATTTAGTCTCAGACTAAATCAAGTTGTCTATTCTCCATCAAGGATCATGGGCACTGAGAGAATCTGCCCAGTGGTCACCTATAGATTATAGAAACAGGGGCATGGGGTAAGGGGAAGGTGATCCACTGTAATGTGGCCTACTTTTTAAGTTATTCTTTATCTTAAATCTATATTACACATCAATTGCCTCATTATTTAACTGTTTCATACTAAGAGAAGGGGAAGATACTTCAGCAGTTCTTGGTGATAGGCTCTTGGTGATATGATTGCCATGTTGAAAGAAGTGATTTGATAAGCTTCAACAGTCAAATGAGAGACTTTGTTTTTTTCTTCAAGTAACATCTTTTTAAAATTTTTTTATTTTTATTTATTTGACAGAGAGAGACACAGTGAGAGAGGGAACACAAGCAGGGGGAGTGGGAGAGGGAGAAGCAGGCTTCCTACAGAGCAGGGAGCCTGATGTGGGGCTTGATCCCAGGACCCTGGGATCATGACCTGAGCTGAAGGCAGATGCTTAACGACTGAGCCGCCCAGGTGCCCCTCTTTCTTTTTTTTTTAATTTAAATTCAATTAATTAATATATAGTGTATTATTAGTTTCAGAGGTAGAGCTTAGTGATTCATCAGTTGCATATAACACCCAGTGCTCATTACATCAAGAGACTTTATGTATGACATATATTAGAGATTTTTTTTTTTTGCATGGTTCATTTGTTTACTATAAAATGTAATGGTGTAAATTTTTTGTTTTCTTTAAAGGTGTGCATTATAAATCTGTATGTTTATTTCATCTTTTAGAATGACCAGGTTCTTCAGGGCTTCTCAGTGGACAAAGGAGAATTCACGTGTCCTCTCTGTAGGCAGTTTGCTAACAGTGTTCTTCCTTGTTATCCTGGGAGCAATGTGGAAAGTAACCTTTGGCAACGTCCTAGTAACAAAAGCATACAAGATCTCATAAAGGAAGTGGAAGAGCTGCAGGGACGGCCGGGAGCTTTCCCAGTAAGCATCAGTGTAAGGCAAAAATATCCTGGTAAACTCAGCTCTGCTTTCAGCTCTCATTTTCGTTCCTTTCATTTTCATTCCTTTATAAATTACTCTGGACCTTTAAACATTTAAAAGCAATTGCTTTTGGATGTTTTTCTTTTCTGTTTGTGGTTATTAAAAACAAAAATGAGAATAATGGAACAAATTATTACCAAAGGCTATACTTTTCCTTAGTCCAAATTGTTATACTTTTAATATACATCTTCCAGATCATGAAATCCTATAAGCTTAGATATGGTTAGACTCTTTTAAGATGTTGGAAATCTTTAAAAACAAAGCCAAACAAATAAATTACGTATATATGTATCTTACAATGTAAAGCATAGGCTAATCACTTAAAAATATGCCCATCAGGTATATTAGGATTCAGATGATACATTTACGTATACACACACACTTTATATATGTGTAATTATAGATTTACATACACTTCATGTGTGTATGTATCAGATAAACTATCATATACTTGATTGAACCATTCACTGTAAGTCAGTCTATTTTGGTGGGATTTGGTGTAAGTGAACCCATCTTTTATCCCATCCAGTAGGATTTATTTATTTGATTTAAATATTTAAATATTTTACCTTCATTATAGATGTATGATACAGAAAGAAGTGATAGCTGTACCTAGTTTAAGCAATAAATTTATGAAAACTATTGACTTTTGAAACAAATTCATAGTTAAAAGCTACTCAAAGATTTATTTCTTTGCAATTTCTTTTCTCAGTTGAAGACTAATTTTAGAGTCTGGTTTTTTTCTTTTGTAAATCCAAATTTTTATGTGTTTAAAATATGCTTAAAGCAAGGGACATCAATATTAGTCTTTGAGAAGTGAACTTAAATGAAGTCAGATTGTTTATAAACATGAAAACTGTTCTAAAATATTAATGACATCTACTCATTTGTTTAGAATATAGGTTTGTGTGGTTAGTTCATGGTTAGATTATAGGCTAACCAATCACAATATAGAATTAGGATAAAATAGAAGATATTTCTTGATCTATTTTATCTTTGTGCACTAAGTGTATTTATAGTGGATAGCTCATGTACATCTGTTTTAACTTTTTAACTTTAATTTCCTAATGTATTCATATGATAAACATTGTAGTGTTAGACTATATTAGAGAAAATGAATATGAATAAACTTTATATGTATGTTTGCATTTTTTACAGTCAGAGACCAACTTAAGTAAAGAAATGGAATCTGTAATGAAAGATATCAAAAATACCACTCAGAAAAAATATAGAGACTATAGCAAGACCCCAGGTTCACCAGACAATGATTTTCTCTTTATGTATTCTGTTGCTAGGTAGGTATACATGGTATATACTTTAATATTTACTTATTCTGAATAGTTGGTTTTTTGTTTTATTTGTGCCATTAATATTTATTTGAAGAAAGGATGTGTATTTTTTATGGTGGTTGAAATTATGGCTAGTTTTAGAACCGTCTCAAAGGATCATAAAAATGTAGGTTTTCTTCATTTTCTGAAGAGTTTTTATTTTCATGAAATATCGGGTGAAGTGTTATATATTATAGAATATGTAGGAAAAAGTGTATTATTAACATTGTGGGACAGATGTCTACCTCAAAGCATGTGAGTATTAAATATGAAGGGTCTTGTTAAGAAATCACTGTTCAAGTCCTGTCAAAAAGTAGTAATACTGAAAACAAAAACATTGTAATATGTTAAACACTTTTAATTTATAAGTAAGAAGAACTTATTTTGTTTGCCTTAAGCTAGTAAAATATCTAGTAATATCCTGTAGGTGGTTTAGAAAATCAGATAAGGGAGATGGAGCAAAAGATCAGGCAAGTTCTAAGTTTCTATTAGTAGCTAGCAGGGGGCTCAAGAAAACAGGTAAATACTCCTCATCTTTCAAATTAGGTAGGATTAGTCTAATTGAGTGGGTGTTCAGTACCCTAAGAAATGGTTCCAAACAGGGATTTTAGAAAACTTAATTGAATGAAAATGGAGAACCATAAAAGAAGTAAACAGGGAAGAAGCAGGCACAATTAGAAACTTGTAAACACATTCTGCCAGAATTGATGTTGTAGACCACTGGATATCCCTAGAAGCATACTTTTTTGTATCTTGTCCCAAGTAGTATTATAATAGGTAAGATTTAGAGAGATAATGTAACTTGAATGTCATGCAGCAAATTAGTGGCACGTAGTACTAGAACTCAGATCTCCGAGTCAAGATCTATTGTTCTTTCAATTACTGTCCTCCTTTTTTCTCCCCTGTATTCATCTTTTATAGGTCATATGTGCATGCAGTTCACCAGGGCCAGTCTCTCTGCCCCATTCATGGACCAGAGGGTAACAAGAGTAAATGAATTATATGTAGTCTTTAGAACCCAGGAAAAAAGGAACCAGATTTAGGAAAATTGCAAGCAAGTTAGAGCTCAAGATAAGGAAACATTAGTGTTTAGTTTAAGAATGCAAAAGCTGGACATGGATTGATGTAAAAGGATCTAATGGATTGGGAAGTAACTTTCTAGTCTGCACATTCCTAAACTATTGTTGTTATTTATCCAGAATGCTTCAGAGAAGATATAACAGTTAATTCAACATTTTGTGTCTGGAGAGTTACCAGCTGCATACTTGCAATAAAATACACTTTATGTGAAAACTAAATTGAGTATGATTTAATTTTGCCATGGTTTCAAGGTTTTAAAAAACTTCTATACAATGTTGTAGTAATAATGTTGTAGAAAATTGAGATGAATGTAGACCCACTCAGTTATGCCATGTATATATGTGTCGGTTTATATAGATGTATATGTGTTTGTGTGTGTATGTGTATAAATACTATATTTATGTTGCTTATGTATTTATGCTTTTTACTTTCTTAGGACTGATCCAGTAAGAAAATTCTAGGTGAATAGGAATGATCTGTCCATGGAATTTTTCTATATCATGATAAATAACTTGATTTAAATTTAGTTTAGTGGAAGTTTTAGATTCCTATTTCTTGAATATATAAATTCCTATTTTCTTAAATATATAAATACCTTATATATACCTTGCTGTGGTAATAGGAGACTTTTTAAGGTCAATGTATTTTGGTTTTTCTCTTTTATTGAGAAACAGGGACAGATATCAAATGTTATTTACTGTGGATGTATATAGAGAAACAGAAAATGTGTTCTCTCCTCCCATTTTTCTCTGATTGCTCATGATAAACTCTAAAGCAACAAGATAATGCTTCTGAAAATGAGAGTATGTAACCTTTAAAAAAACTTTGGTTAAAGTTACCCAGGCCATTGTGAAGTTCTCACAGTGAGATTGCATGCCTTCTCTAAGTTTTACTTAGTTATTAAAAAGAAAACAAAACAAAATTAGCTAAAAAATTAACAAAAACATGAATTGGGGGAAAAAAGGATGTTGTATCCTATTTGAATAGTAATTTTCTCAAGGTAAGAAACAGGTCTTTATATATATCTTATGCCTAGCATATAACCTTATTTCATAAATATGTATGATTACAAATTATGATTATTTTTGTGCCTAAAAGGTAGGCATATTTGATAATATTTAAAATGTTTAAATGTTTAAGTGAAATATTTAGAAATAAATTTATTTCGAGTTATTTAACTTTTGAATTAAATATTGTGATTCTTAAATGTATAATTCATTAGAATGTGCACATTTATTTGTATTTGACATTAGAAATTTGAATGGAATACAACCCTTGTTTCCCAGAGCTGAATTTCTCCCCACTGAATGAGTAATTTAGTTTGCTCTTCAGGGAACTTAAATTTTTTGTTGTTCAGGAAAAAAATATTTCTAGTGGTTAAGTAGCCTGTAAAGCTGTTAATTTTAATAATTAGAGGATTTTTTGTTTGTTTTGTTTTTTGGGTTTTTTTTGTAGGGCAATTTATCTCTTTGTTTTTTATTTTATATGCATGGTAAAGCCTTGGAGGATTTTTTGAGGGCAGCAGAGAAGAAATTGTTGGAATGATATCTTTCTCTTACATTAAAATTAATCAAAATTACTATATTCAAGTTTTATTGTATTTCCAAAAAATGCTCTGTTGCAAATACCAGGCATTCAGATGGATTATGGAAGGTTAATTTGGGTGAGGAAAGCTTTCCTCAATTAAATACCAATTCATTATTTCTTCATTGAAACAAAAAATGACACTAATTTTAATAATTGACTTTTCCAAGGATTTTGGACTCATGTTACATATAGCCTAGAGGTATTGGTGAGTAACACTTGGCCTGTATATAGTGAGAAACATGGAAATGAAAAGAAGATGAAACATGAATAACTGAGATGTAGATGGAGAGATATCTTTAAGTCACAGTGGGTAAACTGCTCAGTAGAGTGAGTGCAATTTACTTTACATATTAGTTGCATTGTAAATTTAAACTTTACAACCTAAGTATGTTCAGAATAAAAGGAATGCTTGCTAAAATACCAAATTATGAATCCTTTTTAAAGCCAAGAAATTCTTTGATAAAACACCTCCACTTCCTCCCCCCCCCCTCCTTTTTCTTGTTTCACTGCTGGATTTAAGGGAATAGAAGGAAGGGCCAACAAAAGAAAGAGAATAAGCCATGGGGACTAAAGAGAATCTTATCATTGGTTCCATACCCAAACAAAGAGATTTCTGGTTCCTAAGGTGTTTTTGAGCACTTTGCTGTGTACCATCAGGGATTTAGAAGCTTTATCTGAAATGGTCCCGGCTCTCCAGGAATTTATTACCATTTAGTTGGAGAGACAAAACCAATATACATCAACCTGTATAAAACAGAATATAGTTTGTTTTAAAAATATCATTTTGAAAAAATGCTATAGAACTTTGAAAGGGAAGATGAACAAATTGAAATATAAAGTATGTGGAAATGTTTCTTTCCTGTCTCAAGAAAAGGGAATTAGTTCTCCCTAATTCCTGGAAGAGTTAGAGCTTGAGCTGAGTCTTGTATAATATAGGCTATGGTACGGACAAAGATATTTTTTCTCTCTGAGATGTTGAGTAACTTGCTTAACCAGTAAGTGGTAGGCTCAGGCCTTGAACCCACACTGATACCAGTGTGTGTTTGAGTGTCTCTGTGTGTGCATGTGTATACACACATTTGTTTTTCAAATTATAGTTCTAAAAATAGAAGTTCATATCAAAGGAGGGTGGAGGGGGGTAGAAGGGAAAGCAGACCTTGGTCATGCAAAAAGAAGCTGAAGCATAGTTGGAGTTTTTAAATGGAATATGTAGGTGGGCACCAAGGTAGTTGTAAGCAATCTTTCTCATTATTGTTTCAGTTACAGAGATTTTTTTCTTTCCAAACTAATTTGAATGGATTTGTGTTAGGAATATAAACAGTAGAGTCTACTTTTCTCGAGAACAATCTTTATTTTTATATCATCCATTCAGGAGGGCAGAAACAGAATATTGTGTTGAGATTTTCAAGAGTGAAGGAAGATCAAACATGGGGCGTGTGACACGTTTGTATGTTCGTTTCTCTAACAAGTCTCAAAGGGCCAATTTTGATGTAAATAAAATAAGGAAAAACTGAGGGTTAAGGTCTCTGACATATTGATTTTTAAAGTCCTAGATTATTACATGATGCTAACCCTTTGGATAGGTAGGGTTTTTTTTTTTTCCCTTTCTTTTTTAATGTCAGAAAGAATGTTTTTCAGGAGATTTTCTAACCATAATCTGAAACAATTAATTAGATTTAGTAGTTTTCTTCCAAGTATTCTTTAGAATCAGATTCCTGGTAACATGTTTGTCATCCTTTAAAGTATTTTATTTGATGATTGAATAAACAGAATTGTTCTTGTATTTATATTTTAATGAATATTTTTGCAAACTGTGCTAAAATAAAAGTTGACATTCTGGTTCTGACCTTCGTTTGTAAGAATTGATCATGTTTCTGGTTAGCTCTTTTAAAAGTACAATCTAGGAAATCTTAGTTTTTATAAGAGAATATAGCCGTTAATTTTTTTCTACAGATTAGGCAACAGAAGATTTGTGAAAACAAAATATATTGATCTCATTTATATTCCCCTGATGAAGGAACACATGCTGGTCTCCGCTCGCTTTCTGTCCACTAATATGAAATCCTTGTCCCTGCTTCCTTGCTGGTAGGTTTTTAGAAGTTCAGTGAGCAATGCAAATCGCCTGAAGGGTGGAAAATTCCCTTGTCACACAGATGCCCTTATCAGCAGCAACCAGATGGAGTTCTGAGCAGGAACATTATCAATGTTAAATTGCTTTTCCCCCACACCAGTAGAGAGGATTAAAGCATTCCTTTAAAAATGGGTGGCAAATATACAGATTTAAGAATATTAATTTTGTTAACAGTTTGCATTTGTAAGTAAATATATGAAAATAATGTTTCAAAACATTTTGTGTTAAAAGTACAACCCAAACCAGTTCAAACTGTTTTGTTTTAAGTAAAATAGGATCATATTCTTCCTTCTTCCTTGAATTCATTTGCAGAGTAAGCTTGAAATTTTGCCTTTTTTTTTTTTTTTTTTTTTTTAAAGATGGGCTATCTCACTGTTAGTGTCAAATGCGTATCTTGGATATAAATTATTCAGTTTTAGTAGTGGCAAATAAAGGTGTGTTTAAGTTTATTAATACTGTTGAAGTAAAAATACACGCATTTTATCATTCAGAATTTTCATTTATTCTGGCAAAATTCACTGGCTATTTTACTGTATTGTTTTTGAGTAAATCTTTAGATTCTGCAACAATTTGCTTTTTAAAATGTCAATTTACTAATTATTACTAATCTCTAAGCTAATAATTGCTAAATATATTAGAATTTCAGATCTGTATGAACGTTTTTGATGTTTAGCAGTGCCAGTAGTTACACAGTGTACTTTAATAAACTGTAATTTTAGAAGTCCAAGAAGAGTCTCCTGTTAATTATATGTGTTGTTCTTAGCTACTTTGATGTTAGTGATTTTGTTTAATACTGATGTCTAGATACCATCTAAGCTCCAGTGAGTGATAACCATTTCTCTGATAGAAAAGTTGGTATGCCCTCCTGTTTTAGATGACAGTATCCACTCAGTCACTAACAGTTGGGTACAAGCTCTTTCATCAGATTTATGTGCAGGTTTATGAAATGTGTTGCTGTTGTTTTCCCTAAGGCCCAGTTTTTAGTATTTGCCAACATTTGGGGTTTTGCAGCAGTTACATCATGATGTGTGCAGTTTTGCAGGTTATATATATGAACATATAAGGATAGATAAACTGTTTCCCTTTTTATTTCTAAATATCAGATAAAATATTATTATGGATATTCCATAAACTATTCATAAAGTTCTTCAACTTTATTATTTAGGTTAATTCAGACATATCAGTAAAACAAATTAAAAAGTATTGCTTCAGCCTAATTGAGATATATTTTGATGCTTTACTTACAGAACCAATTTGGAACTTGAATTAATTCATCGGGGAGGCAATTTGTGTTCAGGTGGTGCAAGCACAGCTGGCAAAAGGTCTTGCTTAAGTAAGTAGTAAACAGTGTAAATTTAAAAACATTTTTATTTTAAGATTTTTTATTTTTATTTTTATTTGTGAGACAGAGAATGAGAGACAGAGAGCATGAGAGGGAGGGAGGAGGGCCAGAGGGAGAAGCAGACTCCCTGCTGAGCAGGGAGTCCCGATGCAGGACTCGATCCTGGGACTCCAGGATCATGACCTGAGCCGAAGGCAGTCGCTTAACCAACTGAGCCACCCGGGCGCCCCCAAAACATTTTTATTTTAAAAACATTTTAAATTATGTCATTTTTGAAAGCCTATACAGGCAAAGTGGTCTTTTGATGTATTTTCAGATTCTTTCTATGTTACATATAATCAGTTTTAATAGTGATTATATGCTTTAAATGGCTAATCTTGTACTTAAAAGAATCATATGAATATTTAGCTCTTTCTATACTATGATTACTCAGTAAATAAATGCCATACCCATAGATCAGATTTACATTGGCTCAGAATTAAACAGTGTGGTATCCTTGGCTATAAAAAATTACCTTCAACTTAAATTTCTTAAAAGAATTTTTACATTGTCTAGATTAAAGAAATCTTTATATAAAAATAATTTGTGTTGCCTACAGATTCCTATAATATACAGTGCTGCTGTTAATTAATGAAGGCATTTGTACTGTATTTTAATGTGGACATTAAAATGTATTAAAATTATGGATGTTTGCTTTTATTTATGAATATAGTTTATATTGTAAAATGAACATGATTCTTCAATACTTTTTTGTAAGGGTAAGTTTGAGAGAAGTGTCCTTTGGAACTTAATGTAGATTCTTCATGAATATGGTTTTGATGCTATCACTATTTAGTCATTTTTTAGAGAATTAATGTGAATACTAGGGGTAATGCTACTTAATGTGAAGTACAGCTAATTATTGGTCCCAAATCACTGGAGTTAAAATATTACCTAACATGATCGATACAGAAAATAAAAATGGTTTAAAATACATAATATATTATTTTGAAAAATGAATATATTTTCTTAAATGCTAAAAATAGTCGTAGTTATTAAAAATTATCAACACATAGGTTTTTAAAAAATATATGTGTATTTTTTTTAAAGATTTTATTTATTTATTTGAGAGCGAGAGAGACAGAGATAGAGAGAGCACGAGCAGGTAGGGGAGGGAGAAGCAGGCTCCCTGCTGAGCAAGGAGCCTGATATGGGGCTCCATCCCAGGACCCTGGGATCATGACCTGAGCTGAAGGCAGATGCTTAACTGACTGAGCCACTCAGGTGCCCCCCAAAATATATGTGTATTATTGTGAAAAGATATATATGTGTTTGGGGGATGATTTCAAAGCAAAGGACTGATCAAAAACATCTTAAATTATTTATTTGATTTTAATTAATTTTTAAGTAGGGTCCATGCCCAGCATGGAGCCCAACATGGGGCTTGAACTCATGACCACGAGATAGAGACCTGAGCTGGGATCAGGAATCAGGTACTTAACTGACTGAGCCACCCAAATGCCTCTCCTGGAATTTTTAATGTAACGATACAAACTTATGTGAAATTTCAACTGAGTTACTTTTAAAATTCTTACTAGTTGTATTAGATTTTGATACTTTTTTGGGTTATCACTTGATTCCTAGAAATGTAAGTTGGAAGTTATTTTTTATTGAATATTTAGTATTTACTCACTTTTGTATATACTTAAACCCTACTTATACCCAGTGCTTTAGTATTATGTTTTAAAGGAGAAGTTGTTGATACATAGGAGTTTTAGCTTCTAGACTGAATTAGCAAAGACTGTAAATTCACTTATTTGAATTACCTTTTCTTATTAATTTATTCTTAATTGTTGTTTGGCATTGGCTAATAATATTCCAGAAACTGTTATATTAGAAAGTATTTATAGTAAAGGAATTTCAGTCTTATGTTCAAAAGCTCTACTTCATTTTTCCCCCCTCTGAGGTACTTAAATATATCCAGAGACTTGTAAATAACAAATTTATTCAGAATCTTAAAAATAGTAGTGTAAAATTCTAGCAGCAACCACTTCAATTATCATCCTTAATTTTAATTTAAATTATTAAATTGATAGTTACTTCCACTTTCATTTTTTATTTCCCCTTTCATGAATAAGCAATCATAATGTGCCAGTATAGAAAAGATCCTGATGAAGATCATCCTAAATCTAAATTTAGTACTGTTTTCAGTTTTCTTTTTTTCTTATGATTTATGTTAGTCCTCCCCCTCAAACTTTATTGAAGTATGATTGGCAAATTATATTGTATTCAATTGTATATATTTAGGTTGTACAACATGATGGTTTTTATTTTTAGTTTCCATATGATTTATTATTAATTGCTTATCCATTATTTATCCTAATGTAGAATATATTTATGTTTATATAAAGCCCCACTGTTTTGCAAGTGTATAAACTTAATGTATTTGTTATTTACACAAGCGTAACTCAGACCTGATTTGTTGAACACCAGAACTTAAATTGATGGTGTGTCTTAGGACCTTAGATCAAATATTTCATTTTTTCATCTTCCAGTCGAACTTTAATGGTATTACTAAAAATTCTTTTTTTAGAGACTCCTCATAAGTCAGTATTTTCCCATTTCTGTTTATTGCTCTTTGTTACCTTTTAAATATCTTCATTTTAAAAGTTTTTTTTTTCCATAATATTTTGGGGAAAGAGTAAGAAAATGTTCCACTAATTAAGCAAATGATATGGAACTTACACTTTTCAACAGTGTCCCATTACAACTTCTTGATAAAACTGAAGATTAGTCAAGAAAATATTTAAGTTTTGTCTGGAGCGGCTTGAATAATGCCCAATAGATAATTATGGACGAGAACACACACACACACACACACACACAGTTGAGAGCAGGAGAAGATTGCTTTTTCTATAACAACGAAAGCAGAAAAATATTACTGGCCAAATTTATACTGAGAAATAAAATTGTAGTGGGACAGTGCCATTCAGCACTTACATATTCAAATTTTTTAAGTATTGAGGTAAAATGACCAGTACCCAATTATAATAAATGCTCATTCCTAAATATGTATCTGGGAAATTTTCCAAGGTAAAAAATGAGCAAAATTAATTAACAAAGTAGTATAGTATGGTATTTTAATAATACCTAACATTTCTAGTTTTAAAGTTTGTGAATGCTTTCACATAAATTATTTAGTCTTTAGAATGACCTTGTGAAATAGGTGTTACCACTTTTTCATCGGAAAGGAAACTGAAATTCAGAGTGATTGCCTTGCCAAGTCATACAGCTGGAAAATATCAGAGCTTGCACTTGAACCCAGCTATTCTGACTCTAAATTTAGTTATGTAAGACATATCCCTTGCTTGTGAGTGTCCCAAAGGATACAGAACGTTTAAGAACTTTTACCTCTGGGCTTTAGTCAAAGACATCTTACTATATACTATTCCCTTGGGATCTTTCCAGGCTTTGCCTGCTAACACTTCTATTATTTTATCTATTTTCTTTTGTTAACTTTTCACTAAGATTCCAATTTTTGTTTTGGGCCACTCCTTCAGAAATTTTCTCAAGCCCTGATTCCTTCTTCTTTGGATACCAGTTGAGTTTTCTTTTATTTTTCACCAGTTTGCTGGCTGGTTCCCCCTTGTTTGAGATCATATTGAGCTGGTAAAATCAGTAACGCTTTTGGTGGACATGGCATTTGAACAAGACTATAAAAGATAAGTGAATTTAGGATTTTTATTGCAAATTGATATATACACTGATAAATACCACCAATTTTGTTAACAATAGATGTAGGACAAAGCAGATGCAAAAATTGAAGGCATAACTTTTTATTAAGAAGAATGAAAAATGAAGGGGGGGGGATCAGAGGGAGAGATGAACCATGAGAGATTATGGACTCTGAGACACAAACTGAGGGTTTTAGAGGGGAGGGGGGTGTGGGGATGGGTTAGCCCAGTGATGGGTATTAAGGAGGGCACGTACTGCATGGAGCACTGGGTGTTATATGATGACAATGGATCGTGGATCACCACATCAAAAACTAATGATGCATTGTATGGTGACTAACATAACATAGTAAAATTTAAAAAAAATGTTTTATTAAAATTAATTTCTTCAAGTAATTCAAAAGTAGATATGGAGCTCCATAGATTCCAGTGAAATTAATAGCACAACAATTTCTCAAGTAGAAATTGTTGAAACCAGTGGCTAGAGTAGGAGTGGAAGGAAGAAGTGTCATTTGATAAATTAATATTGGGGATAGTTTTTTAAAAATATCTATCTTTTGATAAACATCTTTCCATATCTTTGGGTCTAAGGCTTTTTATATATTACTATAGTTTAAGAAGCCACAGTTCACATCACAAATGAATTTCCTGATTTTATAGAGAGATCAAAAATTAAACTTTAGTCAAGAGAGGTTATGGCAGACCTTTGCTTTGACGTTTTCATTGGGGGGGCTCTAACTTAATTTTGATACAATTTATGATCTCATCAAGAAATGATGCATGTGGTGAGTAATTGTGATACAATTTCTGATCTCATCAAGAAATGATGCATGTGTTTTGTTATTCATAGAAAGCAATCGAGCTTTGGTGTGTACAGGCAACTTAAAGTAATTTTAATTGCTCAAAGAATGAACTTTTGTTGAATTTAGAGTTAGGAGAGTTATTTAATGTTAATTTCATCCTACTGTAAGACTGCATAAAGATATTGTTGATTAAGATTGCAAAATTCCTCCTAAGTAGTCTGACCTTGTTCTTTAACAGTGGTAAATTCTGATGTCTATAGCTTATTAGGGTCTATTCTTAAGATTTAAAAATTATGAATTCTACAAATAGGTTGAATCACAACTTTTGTTCTATTCTTTTTGTTACCCCATAACAAGAGGAAAATTTGGCCACCAAATCATTATAACAGTCAAAATGCATAAATTAATATAAAAAATATGCAATTGCCTCCTGATTCTATTTATGAATAGGCAGATGATTTGGGAGCAAGCTATT